CTCATTTGCATGTTCTGGACTGAGGATGGATCGGGCTGCACGCCGCAGCGATGCTATGATGATATTGCGCTTGGGCTGTAGGAGCCTCTCCGGAGTCTGTACACACCCCCAGTGAGCGCGGGTACCCAAATGGATCGGGCTGCGCGCCGCAGCGGTCATGTGCATTGCATTGCATTCATGCATTGTTTCCTGTTTGTACTACGTGGCATGACATTCAGCACTCTCATATCATTGGCATCCATGCTGTTCTTGCACTGCGTACCAGATACCCTGGTGTTATTTGTTAATAGAGTGCTGTGCCCGAGGGGCTAACTTATATGCGGACTTGCACTATTTAATAACGCATTCATATGCTTGACTGTTGGAAAAGGATATTTTCAAAAGAGGTTTTTAAACTGAGCCAGATATTTTCTAACGGATTTTTCACGGTCTTACCGTTTTCTAAAAAGGGTTGTACTGTCCTATATAGCATGATAGAGTGCTCTTACGTGATTTCTTGCCTCTCAGTTATTATTTACTCTTATTACTCACTGAGTTGGAAGTACTCACTTTACTCCCTGCACCTCGCGTGCAGTTGCAGGTATTGTTCACCCGGTAGCGGGTGATTAGTGGACTGAAGGTAATACTAATGTAGCTGAGCAAGGTGACCGCCAGCGTTTGCGGCACCGGACTTCATCTTCAAGATTCCAGATTTTATTTTATATATATATATATGACCCTGTAGTTGTGTTCCTACTTCTTAGATGTTCGTGACTTGTGACACCCCGGTCGGGTTATGTGGGGTTGAAAATACTGATTATTATGGCCGTTAAGTTGTATTATTCTATTCACTTATGTTTAGTAACTGTTAAAGAAATGATTTGGGTAAGTTGGCTGGTCTTGTCTTCACGAGAGGCGCCATCACGACCGGGTATGGGAATTGGGTCGTGACACTATTCCCCCTCTTTTATGAATATGCAGTGGAAGTTGAAACTAGTTGTGATTCAACTCAAAAACTCTCTAATGATGCTCAATTGAATGAAGGTAGAGTTGAGAAAAACCTTCCAGAGAATACTGCAATGGTCCTTGACATTGGTTCACAATTGAATGATGCTGGAAATGCTGATATTGAGAAAGGCATGCAGCCTGGGAAAACCACAGCGGATGACAAACGTCAAGGTATTCTATAGATCATGAATTTATTATATTTGATTGAAGTATATTTTTTACAGTTTGAAATTTTACATATTTTATTTTCTTTTTTATGTTTTTGAATGATTTTTCAGAAAGACTGGAGGCAGCTCAAAAAGAATTTGGTGAGCTTATGCAGCAATATCAAAAAGGAGAAATACATATATTCACACCTGTTAACTCACAGACATGTGTGAAGTGTGTTGGTTTTATTTTATAAAATTTAGTCAGTATTAATTTTTTTTTTTGCATGAAGATACAGGATCTATTGGAATGCAAACACCATATGTGTCGCAACACTTAGACCAGGTAGTTATTTTCTGCAATTCAATTACAACTGTTTTTTTGCCTAATGTGTGTTCTCTATCAATTTTATTTATGTTTATATTTTCCTTGCTTTTGCAGATCTCATCTGATGCCTCGGAACTTCTTTCAAAACCTAAGAGAAGAAAGATTTCTAGCTCTCCTATGTGTGACACCAGTGATATTCCCAACTTCAATTTATGTTCATTTTCACTCGGTAGTACACAAGGGGCTGATTCAGAAGGTAATTCTACTGCTGTTGTTGTTCGTGAAGAGACAGAAGAACGTTGTGAACAGCAGGGAATTGGTCAAGCATCTGCCACGATGGCTGTAGTTTTCCCCCCTGCTGCTGAATAGCAGCAGTTAGTTGTGACGGAACAGCAGGAAGAGCAAGCAAAAGGAAAACCAGATAAAAAGGGAAAAGGATTCGTATTGAGAGTATTTGGTTGAGATATCCTTATGTAGTTTATAAGAAAAAGCAAAGGGGGCAAGATTGGAAAGTAGGAAAAAATAGAAGAAGGTGTCCCTTCCATTATGTTAATCAAGACAGTGGATTGATGCAAAGATTTAAAGAGTGGTTGGAGATGGATGCCAGTGAATATGATTCCAATCCATTCAGATTAGCTGGACTTGATATTCCAAAATTATTCTTTACCGAGCTTATGGATCCTGACTCTGATCTTGCGGATGAAGTAAGTTATTAAGTTTGTTTTTTTGAATTGGTTTTCAACTGTATTTCCCAAAAGTTCAGCTTATTTTTTATAGTATAGCTTTATTCATAGTAAACTGCTGGAGATTTTTAGCTTATTTGCTAAAACTTCATCCTAACACTTCAAACTGAATATGCTTAAGTTTTTGTCATGCTGTTTTTTCTAAACTTCATAGTGGTAATTTCACATGTTGTCATTTGTCGTTGTTCATTTGCCGCATATTGATGTGGGCGTATATTACTTGCGCAAAAAATACTGCTATCACCTTCCACGTTATTCCAAATCAAGATGTGCAGTAACATATTTACTTTTCGATCAGTATATGACTATCCTGGATAGTATTCATCCTTCAGAAGAAAAGATGAAGATAATTAACAAAAGTAAGCAAAAGAGAATGGAAGGTTCTTAAGAGCAAATCAAAGAGAAAGAGGATNTGTATATTTGCATTGGATACTGTATTCCAAATTAAAACGTTGTAGTATGTTTGGTTTGGATATTGTATTCCAAATTAGAATATTGTAGTATGTTTTGTTAGAATATATTTAAATTGGATATTGTATCCTAAATTAGATTACTGTAGCATGTTTAGTTTGAATATTGTATTCTTCATAAGAATTGTAGAGTAAGCTAGGTTTGGATTTTTCAAATTAGAATATTGTGGTATCTTTAGTTTGAATAATATATTCCAAATTAAAATATTATGGTCTGTTTAATTAGGAATATTATATTCCAAATTAGAATATATGGTAAGTGAGGTTTGGATAGTATTCCAAAGTAGAACATCGTGATATGTTTTAGAATATATGGAGTATACCGTGTAATATTTTTGGGATATTTGATGTAATTTCAAAACTTAGGTATATCATGAAAGTGAGTTTTATAAACGGGTATATTACGTAACTTCCCCAGATTAAAACCTTAATAAAAGGACAAATGAGCCCACTGCATTAAAATCATATACGTGACTGACTGTACATTATATGCGTTATAGTTTTATTCAAACTTAAGTCACTGTGATATTTGATTAATTGCACTTAACCTTTCATTAAATAAAAAGTGTGATTTTACTCCAATCATTAAAGTGGATTGTACATTTACGTCTGTTTTACAAACTTTACTATTACTCAAAAGGTTATTTTTTAGTAAATGTTGATTACTTCCTATTAGCACGGCACTTGCCAACACTACTTTTACTTTTGCTTTTACCCTTTTAGTATTTGATTTTAGCACTTTTGCAAGTTGCATAAGCCAGCTTAGAAACAAAGGTAAACTCTTCAGGGTTGCCCAGTTGGTTTGGAGGCTGGTCATCTGTAACGAATCTTCCCTCAATGTCTTCTTGGTTGAGTCTGTCGCACAGGGCTTGTCTAGTGTGGTTTACATCTCCTGTATAGTTTAGAGGCTATTACACAGGGGGAGATTTATCCAGTGCGCACAAAGTGCTCACCACAAAGTGCTCATCCGAAGGGCAAAGGCTGTAACAGTAATTGTAGCGGCTGCGAAATTCCCCTCTTACAAAAAGAAAAAAAAAGGTAGTGTGAGTGACACATTTTGTTTTTTTTAGATAGAAGTGCATATGCAAATATACAAAGACAAACCCATGGATATATAAAGTTCCTTATTTCCCTTGGCATATTCAATAAATCTTGATTGGTGTACAAGAATTTGGTTTGATATGATCACGCCCAACTATGCCTTATAAAAAGGACTCTGCGGACGTTGCAAATATAACCCGAGTATTACGCCCAGGGTCGAATCCACAGATAGTTAACCTATCAACCGCTATCTTCAGACCCACTAAGTCTTCAGAACCAGCTTCTCAAATATTCAAATTCTCAGTTGAGTGTTCTTTAATAACTAGCTTGCAAGTAACTAAATGGCTGTAACTAAATTAAAAGGGTTGTAAACAATTATGAGAAAAAAAAAACTAAGGCAATGATTTCCCCTATTGATGGAATCCCTTCTGTTTATGCTCATACAAATTTACCCACACATCTCTATCAATCATGAACGCTAATCTTACCGCAAATCTCTCCCGAGTAATTACAGTAATCTGCTATTGCACTCTCCCGAGCTACACTAACTTACTTTATTTAGCACAATTCACTTTAGATTGCACCCAAGGCTTCGTTATTCCTAATCCCGCCTTTAAACCCGCAATTATAGATTCCTCTAATAATTTAGGAGTGGTGTTGTTCAACAATACCCTAAATATGCACTCTTTTCCAAGTTATGCATACTAAATAGGCACAGCTAATTGAAGATCCTGTCAATTAACTACAACGAACACGAAGTTGAACAAATAAAGATCAAACTAGCAATTTGTATTCACATAAACAAGAAGTTCATCACCCAATAGGTTCCATCAAAGCCTTAGACAAGGAATTTAGCTACTCATGGCTATGGGAAAGTAAACTAAGCTTGAATTCATCATAAAATCAAAAGAAAAGAAGAAAGATGTTTAGAGTATTTTCTCACAATGTTTTTCCTTGCTAAGAAACCTAAAAAATCAATACATGCCTCTCTTGGGCAAAGTCTAATATTTTAAATAGGGTTTAGGTCTAAAAATCCCGTAATTGACACTTTGGTCCCTGAAGTTTACTGCGCCTGCCGCGGTTCTGCCGCGGTCGCGGTAGAACCGCGGCCAAACACCCTCGCGGAATCTCAATCTTCTGCAGCTGCTTCCCACCGCGGTTCTGCCGCGGTCGCGGTGGAACCGCGGTGGATCCAGTTCTCTGATTCTTCGGCCTGTTTTGCACGGGTCACTTGGGAAATTTCACAGTTGGCCTCTTTTTCATCACTTTTGACTCCAAAACTGCTCCTTAGCCTTCCTTCTACATATATCACCTACAAATCATGAAAAGCACTAATAAGAGCATTTTGTCATCACTTTTAGCATTAAAACTACACAAGAAGGTGATTATTTAAGGTGTGATTATAGTCAAATTCACCTATTATCAATACAAATTTAGAGTTAATCATCATTCCTGAGGAATTTGGTGGATGAGACCTCATCACAACATATGGGGCAAATCTGCAAAGAGAAACAGAAATATGTAGTACATTAAGAACAACAAAAACATATATTCATCCCATTTTTACACCAAATCATATTGACTTAGTAAGTTACCTTCTTTATCTGAAGCCATTTATTTATACAATCTGAATGGAAGGGATGATCACATGGAAGTGCGACCAACTTCTCTCCTTCTTCATATTCCATTTGACACACCACACACCTATATTCGTTTAAACTCCACGTTTAGTCAAACTTAGTCGCATAAAATCGGACAAAAGGAGCTTTTGGAAAGAAAATATATAAACACACTGATAAACACAAAAAAAAACTAAAAAGTAAAAGAGGAACAATAAAAAATGTGAAAAGTCATAACTTTCTTTTTAACCGAGTGAAATCCTCAAATCAAAGTGAAAAAAGGAAGAAAAAAAGAAGAAGGAAGTATTGACAAGTTTACTACTTTCTCTGTATTAATATATGTGATATTCTTTTGGCCTTTTAGTCTATCTCGAAAAGAATAATATGTTTCTATACTTAAAACTAATTTAATTTTAAATTTCTAATATTAGTAATAATGATCGATGATAGATAACAACAGAAATTTCTATAACGTTATTCAATACAACAAGTTACAAAAGTCTTTCTTCCGTTCTTAAACTCCGATCCATCCGAATCAAACAACCTCACATAAATTAGTACGGAAGAAGTATTTTTTAAAATGTTACAATGATTATGAGTGACCGACTACTTACCTATCAATAAGGGTCTTGGAATTATTAGATTGAAATGTAAATGAATGCAAGTATTTGCTGATTTCTGCTTCAGACAATTCCTGTGAGACAACTATACTCTTTTTAGTAACTTTCATGTAATTTGTTGAACTACACATAAATTAAATATTAAATTGCTCCATCTTTATATACCTCGTAGTATAATTCATCATCTGTATCAACATCATCTTCCTCCATCTCCTACAAAAGGAGAAAATACGCAGTGCCATATAGTACTCCTATATTTTATGAGTTTGATCTTGTTTCTCTTCTAATTGAACTGAATATATATATATATATATATATATATATATATATATATATATATATGTGTGTGTGTGTGTCAGTATATGTGTAAAAAATGACACTTAGCCTAATAACGTTAAGAAATGAGGGCTCCTCATTTACAACATGGTAAGCATTTAAGATCTAGATAGTTTAACCTATGTGCAAATGAAGTTACATTACATATGCCCGATTGTTGATATATATATAATTAAGTAACTAAAAGTGTAGTTTTTAATTCTAACTGCTTAAACTTTTAGATGGGATGGTCACACATTTCAACATGATATCAGAGCAGTTAGAGGTCCTGAATTCGAGTCTTATGCCACCTATTATTAAGTAGGATTTCTACTTGTGCTTGGCTAAAAAGCATCAAGCTTGCACGTATAGAGCGTATTGACGACATAATTAAGTAACTAAAAGTATAATTTCTTTAACCGTTAAATTTTTAGATGAGATGGTTACGAGCTTCAACAATGATCAAAGGTAAAATACCCTTTTTTAGTCCTAATTCTAAAACTGAACTTGCATTATATATATATATATATATAGAGAAAAAAATTTGTGAACTCTAGTGCGTGTAGTGTTGGAGAGGGACCTCGTAGTTATAGTCGTATTCATTGTCGAAAAACTCTAATTCGGAATCTGCAAAAGAGAAAATATCAAAAGGCAAAACATTTTATGGTTTGATTGAAATTGTGAATCATCAACAACTGCAAAATGTGTATAGTTTAGACTTTATATGTAACTCCAAGCATTTCTTCGGCTTTTTTTTTGGGTGAAATAATATAGGAGTAGTATAGGATTTCGATGGGCTTCTTGAATTATTTCTCCAAATTAAAGAAAAAAAAAATACCTTGAATCTGACTTTCTGGAAATTCTTCACCAGAAACAATAATTTCCTTATCTTCACTTTCACTTACTTCCATTTTCAAACATAATACAAACCCCATCCTGAATACACACATTCCCTTGCATGAATATTAATTAAATATCAAGCAATTTAAGAAGAAAAAAAAAAGGTAATTCCCCCTTCTCATTTTATGTATCATAGTTTGACAATACACAAAAATTAAAATATAAAGAACACTTTTAAATCTTGTAATCTTAACTAAATATGACAACACACCAAAAATGTTCTTTGAATCTTATAGTTTTAAACATGACATGTCATTTCTACAAATAAGTGTCATTAAGAGTAACATGAATGTTGAAATTAAAAACTTTGTACTAATTATAGTATTTTCTTTTTGAAACCGATTAAAAAGGAAAGTTGGACACGTAAATTAAAACGGAGGGAATAGTATTTCAGAAAAGAAAAAGAATAAAAAGAAAGTACCTCATCAGTTTGGCTAAGAGGTATAATTTGGGCCGTTTGTGTCATTTGTTCTTCATCAGCCATAATCTTTGATAAATTTTTGCAATTGAATGGCCAAAAAATGGATTAAATGGGGTGTTATAATGACAAGAAAGGAAGGCAAAAACGAACTAAGAACGATGAAGGAATTTGTGGGTTAACTTAAGTCCTAAGAAACTTTCATGCAAAGCAAATTAATTCAAAAGCATTTCCATTCAATTTTCAAAATTATAATGTTCTTTCTTCTTGTTTTCAAGTTTGTGTTTGTGCTAATTAATGCAGAAAGCTATCTGGTGGGAGTAATAACAAGTTTCATTAATCTAATAGTAATATTATTTGATAGGGCAAGGTAGCACCTTATATATAAGAGCCCACATTTAATTAATGAGAATAGTGGCACAATTTTAATTAAGGGAGTATAGCATTTTGTAACGACCTGACCGGTCGTTTTGAGCATTTACATCCAATTCGACTATTTGAAATCTTGAGTAGCCTCATATAATGTATTATGACCAGTGTGTATTGTCGGTTTTGGTTTTCAGGTATTTCGGAATATGTTCGAAAGAATGAATTTCTTGTTTAGAAGCTTAAATGAAAAGAGTTGACCGGAGTTTGACTTTTATGCAAAGGACTCCGGAATGGAGTTTTTATGGTTCCAATAGATTCGTATGATGATTTCGGACTTAGTAGTGTGTCTGGATATTTATTTTGAAGTCCGTAATTGAATTTGGCTTGAAATGACGAAAGTAAAAAATTGAAGGTTTGGAAGTTTGACAGGGAATTGACTTTATTGATATCAGGGTCGGAATCCGATTCCGGAAATTGGAGCAAATCCATTATGTCATTTATGACTTGTGCGCAAAATTTGGGTTCATTCCGGATTGAATTGATATGTTTCGGCACGAGATTTGAAAGATGAAAAATTTAAAGTTCATTAAGTTTGAATTGAGGTGTGATTCATCATTTCAATGTTGTTATGCATTATTTTTGAGACCTCGAGTAAGTCCGTATTATGTTATAGGACTAGTTGGTATGTTTGGATGGGGTCCCGATAGGCTCGGGTGAGTTTCGGACGGGGTTCGGATCGATTTGAGCTTTGTTGAAGTTGCTGGAATTCTGGTTTTGCTGGTGCAGTCGCTTCTGCGGAACTGTTGGACACGGTTGCTCCAACCGTTGGACACTGCTCAAGAGAAGCCTAAAGAGTTGAATAAATGAAGGTTCTGAAATTCATTACGGTTCAGAGCATCTCACGGTCGACCTTACGGTTGGCTTGATAGGGCAATTTTGCCCACTTTTGGAACTTTGTAAATAGCTATTTTAAGTCATTTTAGGGCATCTCTTTGGCAAGGAGACTTGTGTAGCAGTTGCTGCGAATTTCTTCTTGAGGAACTTGGGTGAATTCACCATTGTTCTACACAATCTTTTTTTCCTCTTTAAGGATCGAAAATTGTCATTTCGTCATTTTCATTTTGGATTTTGAGAGCTCGGTTGTTGGCAGATTTTTCAGAGTGAATTCACGAGAAATCTTGAGGTTAGTCATATTTGATCATTTTTACTCAATAATATTGAATTATCATCGAATATTTCGACTAGATTACGTGTTTTTGAGGTGTAATTCGAGAATTTGGGCTAGGGATTTGAAAATAAGATTTGAGGATTTGGAGGTCGAATTGATGTCGGAATTTGGTGAAATTGGTATGGTTGGACTCATTGTTAAATGTATATTCATATTTTGTAAATTTTATCGGGTTCCGAGACGTGGGACCCATTGTTGACTTTTGAGTTGAATTTAAATTTTTATTGAAAATTAGTATTTTCAATGGAATTGATTCCTATAATTTTTGTTGACTGTATCGAATTAATTTTGACTAGATTCGAGGCGTTCAGAGGCTAATTCGCGAGGCAAAGACTTATTGGAATAAAGAATTGCACGGTTTGAGGTATTTAACATTTCTAAATTTGGAGCTGAGGGTATGAACCCTGATTATACGTGTTATATGAATTGTTTGGAGGTGACGCACATGCTAGGTGACGGGCGTGTGGGCGTGCACCGTAGAAATTGTGTCGTATTTGATTCCTTGGAATTTTGTAGTCAAATAATCTTGGCATTATCCATGTACTTTCATGTGTTAGAGATATTGAGCTGAGAATCATGTTAAAAATCATGCTAAGGCTATATGTCGATGTTCTTGAGAGCTAGAGAGGTCATGCTGCTGGTGAATTATTTGTTTAAATTGAAATTTCATACTCACTCATCTTCATTCATTTTTGTGTCACATATTAGTCTCTATTGCTATTTATTGATACATCATATCATCATTTTGAGCTGATTTTTACGATATTTTTAGCCCGAGAGATTGGAGAGATTGATGACTGAGTGAGGCCGAAGGCCTGATTGTGAGGATATTTGTAACACTCCTCAAATTTATAAAAGTTTTGAGACACGCTATTTATAGAATTAAATTATTATTATTATTATTATTATTATTATTATTATTATTATTTTTCTTGCCTCTCTCTCTCTATATATATATATATATATATATATATATATATATATATATATATATATACACTTAAGTAGTTGGATGTACAATTAGGAGAATATTAATAATTTTGTTATTATTAAATATTAAAAGTATGTATAAGTTAATACTAGTTAAGTTAAAACCAAAAAGAAAAAAAAAAGAAAAAAAAGGGAAAACGTGAAAAGTCCTAACCCATAAAGGGTCGTGGACTGCAAAAGAAGTAAAAAGGGGTTTGGACTAAGAAATAGAATACGCATAATCTGAAGCGCAGAATAAAAAAAAGAAAAAAAAAGCCCTCGTTCACGCACAAACAAACGCAGAATCGTGAGACAGAGCGTTGCTGCTCAATACTCACGCAGGCAACGCGAAGTTTAGGTTTCTTTACAAGTCGCTAATTCTTGAACTCAGGTATATAAAATTCCTTATTGTCAATTACCCTACAGTAGTATTAGCTAAGAATTAAGTAGTTAATTCCCTTCTTCCTCTATATCAACAATAAATTTCATATTTAGGTGTAGTACTTTAAAATTGATTAAAATGTACTGGTTGTTGTAGAATCGATTGTTTGACTGGTGTCAATTGGGCTGGGGCTACGTATTGGCTCGAGGAGTTTTGAGGTGAGTTGATATAACTCTTTACTAAAGTGGTTTAACTCACAAAAGCACGCATACAAGGTGTTTGATGAATTGCATAAAAGAGTTAATATATACTTAATTGGAGTAGTAAGTACCTATTAGGTTAGAATTATTTTCTAGCTAAAGTTTAGATGATTATGTGGATATATGTGCATAAATTTCAGATTTTTATATTATTCTTTGTACTTAATGTCACGACCTGGATTTTCCACCCTCGGGAGTCGTGATGGCGCCTACTATTAGGAGCTAGGCAAGTCAATTATTTATTATCTCTTTTAGCAAACCTCGACATTTAATAAAAACAACGAAACATTTAATAGAAAAGCAGAAGTCTTAAATATAAATAAACTGAAAGCAATGCGGAAGTTCAATACAACTCTACCCAAGAACTGGAGTCACAAACTCACGAACGTCTAGAGAATGCTAAATACAATGTCTGAATAAAACATAGTTTTGTTTGTTCCGGTACAAAGGATAACAAACTAAAGTAAAGATAGAAGAAACTCCGGGCCTGCGGACGTCAGCAAGGCTACCTCGGTGTCTCTGGACTGAAGTCAGCTCCCAAATCTACTATTGCTGTCCAAAAGCTGCTCCGGCACCGTGATCTGTGCAAAAAGATGCACAGAGTGTAGCATCAGCATAACCGACCCCATGTATTGGTAAGTGCCTGGCCTTGTTGGTTAGAGTATTGCCTTGTTGCATATAAAGTTTGGAGTTATAATAGATTTGATAAGCAGAGATGGTTCGCTCGGTCATGTTTAGTGATCGAGTGCCGGTCCCGGCTTGATCAGGAAATGGGTCGTGACAATATTTATGGGATCGGACTGCACGCCGAAGCAGGCCATATTGGCTTTATATATTTTATTATTATGGTATCGGGCTGCATGCCACAGCATGTTTTATTTATTTATTTATGCCTGGATCTAGCTTATCATAGTGCTTGGGCTGAAGGAGCCCCTCCGGAGTCTGCACCCTACACTGCGAGCGCAATGGATATTATATTTGGGATGGAGTTCCCTGGGCATGAAGTTGCCATATATATTCACATTTGGGATGGAGTTCCCTGGGCATGGAGTTTCCCTATACATTATATTTAGGATGGAGTTCCCTGGGCATGGAGTTGCCCTATACATTTATATTTAGGATGGAGTTTGGGCTGGATTGGCCCTATACAATACTGAGTGACTGAATGCCAGTTATTATGTATATATATTTGGGATGGATCTTCCCTGTGCTGGATTGGTCATATACAGTATTGAGTGACTGTGCGCGAGTTGTCATTTATATCTGGGTTGGATCTCCCTGTACAGTGCCGAATGACTGAGTGTGCTGAATAGTGAGCGTGATGGGTGGAAATGCAAGACAGTGAGATTGAGTACTTTGAGAGTGTGAGTACATGAGTTCATCACTGTGTTGCATGCATTATACATGCATACTTAATATGTGGGCATAGAGAAGCATTTTTTCTCATGCCATCTGATAATAAAATTTCTTATCTGTTGTTAAAGTTTTAGAGAAAAATCACAGATTTCAGACTTACTCATATTTTCGGTGATTTTGGCAAAAGATTTGAGTTTTACTGTTATAATTAAAAAGAAAATGTTTATTTTCCGGAATTGTAAACGAGCTGAGCATTTTATCATTGAGTTATTACTTATGTTGCTTTAATTATATTGTTATGGATTGTTACTGGCTACTGGTATGGACTCTGACCTTTGTACAAGCTCGTCACTACTTTCAACCTAAGGTTAGGTTTGTTACTTATAGAGTACATGGGGTCGGTTGTGTTAGCCCAAGTAAAGGAGAGTTTTGAAGATTGACAAAGGAACTCAGACATGGACCAGGTCCATCCTAGTGAAGCACAAATATGGTCAACTCAAGCATGTGAGATGCACGTGAAAGAGATAAACCTAACTTACCAGAAGTGATATCTCCTGATCTTGATCGAAAAGGTTGCATATTGGATAAGGAGAAAGACTCATTACTCAAAGAGAACACGGCTTAAGAAAAGGATAGAGTTAGAGGTTGAGATCAACTAGAACTCTTTTACCAAGGAAGAGTAGCATCAGAATTCTAGTCAATCTCTATTTACTAACTCCATAAATATCAGTGTTGTTCTCTTTTACAGGTAACACACATAAGCAGAAGTTAAACGTGAATTGAGAGCAAAATAGCAAGGCAATTTTGCAAGTAATTTGTGTGTGATTCAAGCGTGCATACCTGAAGCTACTTGAACTAGATAGAAGAACCAGTTCCAAGTGTTTGTCTCTTATTCTAGTTCAATTGTAGTAGGTGTTTTTATATTGTACCTTTCAGCTTTATCTAGAAGCAATTGTATTAGGTACTCAGAGTTTTCAAGTTAGAGCTAACTTGAAGTTGTCGCAACAGTTGAGGTTGTGTGCTACAACAGGATTAGAGTTAATCCTAGGTTTACAAAAGAGTTTTTGTAAATGCATTTTTTGGCTCAGTGATTTTAGTGGAGAGTTTGGGAAAATCCTACTGGAAAGTAGGTCGTAGTTTTTTCACCTTTTGAGCCAGGTGTTTTTCACGTAAAATATTTGTGTTCTTTAATATATGCATTTAACCTTTAATTAAATAGAAATGTGATTTTTCTCCAATCATTACAGCGGATGGTTAATGCTTCACTAATAATCTACATACAAAAGTTTGCATTACAGGTACTTGTTTTCCAATGAATTTTAAGTACTCCGGATTTGCACTTGTCAACTTTACTAAGTACTATTTTACCTTTCGAAAACTTGATTAGTTGCCTATTAACCTAGAAAAAATCAGTTTGATTTCTCAATATAGTGGAAGTTCATTTACAAATAAACTAAGACATATGATATACAAAGAACATGAAGGTCACATCCATCAATTAATTCAAATAGAATTTCTGTAGAAAGTAGTAAATAGATGTTGAGAAAGTCGCGCGTTTAATCCAGTTCCCAATTTCCCATGGCAATATCATTGAATCTTGACTGATTTCAGTACAAGAATTTTGATTTGATACAAGCGACAGCGGCAGAGCCAAGATTTGAATCTTACGGGGATTTTAGTCCTTTTAAGTTACTGTATTCTAAATTAATATTTTGTACATATTCAATGAATTTTTTATGACAAATACAAAGTTTCGACCAAAGTTACTGAGTTCAACCGAGCCCGTAACGTTAACACTAGCTCCGCCCCTAACAAGTGACATAGAGCTATACATTCTTGGCTACATCAGTGGACGAGACCTCATCATTACATATAGGGCAAATCTGCAAAGAAAAATAAAATAATGAACATCAAGAAGATATATAGGCAAGAAGAATAAATGAGAGCAATTAGCAAATTATATTACCTTCTTTATCTGAAGCCATTTTTGTATACAATCTAAATGGTAAGGATGATCACATGGAAGTGCCACTAGATTTTCTCCTTCTTCATATTCCAGTTGACACACCACACATCTATTCGTCCAAAAAAATCCACATTTTCAAGTTGTTATAATTTGTTCTAAAGAGGACGATCTAACGGTAATTTGTTCTAAAGAGGACGATCTAACGGTCAAGATGTCACAATGTAGTCACGAGTTCAGATCTTAAAATGAGTGGCTGATTTTCGCCTACTTACCGATCAATAAGGGTCTTGGAACTGTTAGATTGAAATGTAGATGAATGCAAGTGTTTGTTGATTTCTGCTTCAGATAATCCTCTGTTCTCTACTCCAACAAATTCTCCTAAAGCAATTAATTCCTGTAACAATATATTATATATATACTCTTTAATAAATGTCATGTATTTCTTGAGCTATACATAAATAAATAACATCTTTTGTATACCTCGTATGATAATTCATCTGGATCAACATCATCTTCTTCCATATCCTACAAAAGAGGAAAATTCACTATGCTTTAAATGTATAGAAATATATGAATTCTAGTGTGTGTGTATGTGCTAGAGAGAGACCTCGTTGTCATCGTCGTACTCATTGTCGTAAAACTCTAATTCGAAATCTGCAAACAGAAAATATCCAAAGGAAAACAAAGAACTATAAATATTTATGGTATAGAAACTGGAATATATAAGGTTAGATTGAAATTTTAAATCATCAACACCTGTGATTTTATAGATAGTTTGGAGTTTTATATAGAGTCCAAATTATCTAGAAATAGAGTACGTAAATTACCTTGAATTTCACTTTCTAGAAATTCTTCATCAGAAGCAGTAATTTCCTCATCTTCACTTTCACTTTCAACCATCGACAACATTATACAAACTCTATCCTGAATATTCACACGCATTGCCACGCAAATTAATGGATTACTTCAAATAATTAGAATCCACACCCAAAAAATAAAATAAAAAGTATTTAAGAAAAGAAAATTAAAGAAAGAGAGACCACAATTTAGCAAACAAGAAATTTTCAACAAAAGATAGAAGGAAGCAGGGGCGGACGTAGTCTACCGCCTACTAGTTCATCTGAACCTATAACTTTCGACACGGAGTATAAAAATATGTAAAAAAAATTAAAATCATAACCAATATTATTACCCATAGTTTTAACAGTATAATTAGTTTAATACTGAAAATTTTAAAAGTTGAACCCATAAAATTTAAATTTTTGATTCGCCTCCGGAAGGAAGTACCTCATCTATTTGGCTAAGAGGAGTTCTTCGGGTCGTTGGCTTCCTCTGTTCTTCATCAGCCATAATTTTCGTTAAATCAATTTACGCAATTGGATTATGGCCAAAACAATAGCTTGAATGGGGTGTTATAATGAGAAAGAAGGAAGGCAGAGATGAAGGAATTTGTTGGTTAACTTAAGTCTTAAGAAACTTTCATGCAAAGCAAAGAAATCCAAAAGCACTGCCATTCAATTTCCAAGATTCCAGTATTGTTCTTTCTTCTTGTTTTCAAGTTTGTCTTTGTGCTACTTCATATTATTATCTGGTGGGAGTAATAACAAATTCAGGAAAATTTTATTTTGTATCTCATACAACTAACACTAGTTGTATGAGGCAACCTTTTTTTCTCACAGTTTTGTGGACCCAAATTTTTGTGGGCCCAAAAGTGTAAGATTGGGGTCCACAAATTTGTGAGACAAAAAGGAGCCTCATACAACTAGTGTCAGTTGTACGAGACACAAAATAAAACTTCTCACAAATTCATAGTATTTAAAATCTTTTTCGATGGGTCAAGATCCTATACAGTCAAATTTTTCTATAACAGTCATTATCTATATTGGAGTATATAATAACACTTTATTATAACGGTCAAGTTTTTTCATGTTATTAAAATGTCTGAACAAATAAGAATATTATAGAGAGATTTGACTGTATTTGATTATTGGACTAGTGCAGAATCAGAGTTTGACAATGGTAGCACAGTTGTAAGATAAGATTTTATTTGACTCAATTCCATATTTTGCAATATATAGGTATGTAATATCATTCTCGAAAATAAAAAGTATATATAACTAGTAGCCCAGCTCACTATTTTTTTTTTATTTCAAAGTAAATAATAACAATACAACTTTATCTTAGCACTAACATGCCAAATTTAACCAAAAGTGTTGCTCTAGATATCACAGTATAAATATATTTATGATCTCATCCTTTTAGTTATATCAACTTAAATATATATATTTAATCTAGAACAAAAAGAGCCGTACATTCTTGTGCTACAGGATGTGTTGGACCATAATATTGGGCCAGTTTGTTTATCATTTGTCTGTATTGGGCTCAGCCCACATATTTGTATTTATAATTGATCTGAGGCTTTAGTAAAAATGACATCAGGTAGCCATTCTAAAGGGCTTTTAAAAATTAGCCAATGCATTCTGAATTATCATTTTTCAGTTTAATTTTTCGGGATAGAAATATCTTGAATTGACTTGAAATTAAGATTTTTTAGTTCAACATTTCAGGTAGTTGGTTTCAGAAGGAGCTCAAAACTTTATATAGTTTCGGATCATTTTTCCCTCTGCCAACACATAAAATTCTAACTTCTTCTTTCTTTTTTTCCATGACACCTCGATCAAATTCACGGATACATATTATCTTACACTAGTATAAGTATTGGATACTCTGTCCACTAAAGCTTGGACAGATAAAAAGAAATTCTTTAGTAATTTTGCGTCCACTAAGATTTAAATCTGAGACTTCATCCATTTTAATTCATTTATTGAGTACAACATATGTCATACCCTTGGGTAGGGGTGTTCGTCGGTCGGTACGGTACGGTATTTAGACATTTCGGTTCGGTATTTTCGGTATTCGGTTTCTTAAAATGCAATACCAATATCGTACCTAATTAAATTCGGTATGGTTCGGTTTTTCTCCTTTCGGTTTCGGTTTATTCGGTTTGGTAACTTCGGTTTATTTGGTTTGAATACTAACTAGTGCATAGAGTCATATAATGTAATATTCTGAATTAAAATACTCAAAAGTACAAAACTAAAAATATTTGTTGACCAAAGTTTTGTCCAAAACTAGCAAATATCAACTTAGAGAGAGAAAACTATACATAAGAGAATCAATTTGATCATTAGAAACGTCTTGTTACTTAGAGTTAATTGATGAACTTAGAGAATAAAGAAAAATAAAATTTTAGATTTTATATTTATGTTATAATTAATAATATGTGTATTGTGTAATATAATATATATTTCGGTACGGTATCGGTATTTCGGTATTTCATTTTAAAATACCAAATACCATACTTAATACCAATATTTTTTAAAACTTAAACCAAATACCATACCGAATACCAAAACATCGAATACCAAATACCAAAAAATTTCGGTTCCGGTACGGTAATTCAGTTTTTACCAAATTATGCACAGCCCTACCCTCGGATGCCACGAGCCTAACGTTTTCAGTTAATACCATTTAAATATATGTCACACCCTTGGATACACCATATTTCCCATTTATTATTGTGTCACATATGTTGCTATAATAAAATGTCTTATCATGTAAATACCTGCACATGACAAAATTGAGATATCTAATTAAATATAGAGAACGCTATAATGTGCATTAACCTTAGCTGCACTGCCATCCAAAAACTTGGAACAGCTTCTTGCAGTGAATTTGCACATTTTAAGTAGTACAATTTGACAAGTACAAAATGACTAGTTGCGGCCAATTTCTAACAGCGTAAAATTGTCTTCTGTAAATAGTAATTCTCAAAATGTGATTGAAAATGCATAGAAACGAGAAGAAGGGGAAAAATTAAAGAAGAATATTAATATTTGCAAGGGATGCTTAATCCAATCTCCCTTTGAGAAACCTCTTGCAAACTTTTTCGATCTGGCTCTGCTTTATGTAACTCTGATCTAGCATCTTCTGCAAATCCTCTCTGTACCAAAGTATGAAATTCCCAAAATTATAATTACAAAAATACAAAGAAATAAGCCAACCATGAAATAAAGAAACAATATACTCCCTCCGTCCTGATTTATGTGAAATGCCGGATTTCGAGAGCCAAAACGAGTTATTTTATTACCGTATTTTTTATATGCCTTTTTAATATTTTAAATTATTAATTGTTATCACTTTATTGTAACTTTTATTTCAAAAAACTTACGGCTTTATGTTTAAATAGGATGAAAATTATGAAGTTTAAGTTTTGAAAAACAAAAAGTATGAGACAAAAGAAGTATACAATACACTTGGTAATAGTGAGTTTACCTCTATCGAACCATTGGAAAGGAGACGATCTATGAGATTATTGAGAATATCTTTGGTATATTCAGGATGACCTTGAATGCCTAAAATATGATCTCCATTTGTGAACATTTCTACTCTCGTCTTGTCTGAAAATGCTATCACTTTAGCTTCCTTTGGCACCTCCCATACCTGTCCAATTTTGTTTCTCCATACTGTCATATATATTTTCCAAGTACAATTTCTCACTGATATAAAGATTGGTCGTAAATTTCATATTTAGTCAACACATAAACTGAGACAGAAGCTGGGAGAAAGTATAATTTTTCACTGATACAAAGAAAGTCGTAAATTTCGTATTCAGTCAAATATTGTCACATAAATTGAGATGGAGGGAGAAAGTACACTTTTTCACTAATATAAAGATGGTCGTAAATTCCGTATACAGTCAAAGATTGTTACATAAATTAGGACGAAAGGGAGTAATATATAGAGATACCTCATCTTGGTGGCACTCAATGATAGAAAGTGTAGGTGGAATTTCATTCAAATCAAGGAAACTATTACATGTTGGGGATTCCTTCAAAATGCTCACTTCCCTTATTCCAATGTCCCAACCACTATCAGCCTTCCTAACATCTCCTCCCAAAGCTCTGCACAAAACCTGTATGTATATATAAACATTGAACCATATGTTAGTTTTCAATAGTATTTTCTCCTAATTTTCACGTGCATTTAACTCACATATATGTTGATAATATACAAACTATATACCATATCATTAACTTGTTATAATCAAGTTGGACATCTTATTATTATTCTAGGGAGTTTAAGTTTCATGTACTGACGGTGAAAAAAATATTTATGTAGTCAAGCCACACTAAGGTAATTATATGCAAATCTCTATGATAAACATTAACCGGTAATCTCACATAAAATGATAATTAACCTACCACCACTACTTGAAATTTACCAACAGCGTAAACGAGCGATGTCAATGTATATATAACTTAAATCCTTTTCTAAGTTATATATTGATAGAGCTTAATTATTATGGACATGTACGCAAAGTTACTCGTAATTATTCTTTAGGAATCTAATAATGTAATCACTCTTTTACACTATCGATCAGTGTATAAAATTTAAACTCAAATATATATACCTGGTGGCCAAAGCAGATGCCAAGAACTTTCTTTTGCATGAAATACAAAGTTTGTAAGAGAAGGCAAAGCTTGAGAATCCAATTATCATTCCCATAAGCATCATAAGGACTTCCACTAACTACAAAACCTTCATAGTTATGGAGTTCAGTCATGTCTGGAAATTCACCATCTACTACTCTGAACAAATCCCATTTCTCTCCTTCTTCTCCATAAGCTTCAACAAACACATTGTAATATCCTCCATATACTTTTTTCACATAATCTGAATCCTTAGCTGCTAATAACAATGCATATTTCTTCTCTTCCTCAACTTTCATCCTCACGGCAGCGTTAAAGTTCGGATTCGGCAAAACTCAATAGCTGCAACGGGTTCAGCAGAACTAAGTAGCCGTGAAAGTAATTAATAGAGAGAGAATAATGATTCTTGACTTTGTTTTGAGAAAGTAATTAAAGAGTACTATATGAAGTACGTATAGATGGAAAAAGAAAATTCTGTTACCATCTTAACCGTGTGTTTTACTAACTTTATTTATTAAACTGACTATAATTATAATATATATTCTTCTTAAGAAATTTAAATAAGAACTTAGTACAAAGAATTGAAAACTGAGGGTACAAAAATACTCTTTGCATGTTTCCGTCTCTAAATGTACAAAAAAATATATACATAAATAAATGAAAATTCATTGTTCGTTTCCAAACTTTTCTTTACTTATATACGTAGGTTTTTGTCATTGGTTTGTTTCCAAAATTTTGTTTGCGTATATTACGTAGGTTATGTTCGTTTGCTCTTATTTTTCTTACTATGTTTGAAATTTTCCTTCTTTTTAAGGAATGAAAACATAATTATTATAATTGGTTTCGCATTTTCCCTAAACAAGAATAGAAATATTCCATACTTGTTTAATTTTTTTTTCCTTTGTTG